GGATTAGTAGTCGTAATAGCCTAAGGATAATCGGTGAATGATAATTTTTAGTGAAATCCAACTTGCAGAGAAGCTGTTGAGATAAATCAAAAAAATCTCTAATTGCACTTTTATAGTCCTCTATGTTATATTCATTGTGGATGTTGGAGTTTGGAAGGTGCGGTTTTACATCAAATGCATAAAAATAATTGACCAAATAACTTTGAGGAAGGCAAAAATCGCAAAGTTTAGGACTAGCCGCAAAAACTAGTGAAATCGTGAACTCAATAAGGGATGTAAGCCGCATGATTAATTGCATCTATCACCTTATTGAAATTAAGACAGGAGAAAAACGAATAAAGATGCCTTCCTACTGAAACATCACAACGACGTTTTTGATCGTATTCAAAGCCAATTAATGGGGGTTTTTTCACCTCAAAACGTTTATTCACTACCCATCTGAATTTATTGAAACCCCATTTATGTCGTAACTGTTGTAATACGGACATGCATTTTAGCATAACCCCAAAATCTTTGCCACTTTTAAATCCATCTTTAAGCCATACTTTATGAACTAGATTAAATAAATCATTACGCATGTCATTAAGATGATTGTGGATCACTATATAAGAAATCTCAGCACAACTTGTATGTGGAGACTGATAACGGAAAAGATGGTCAACTAACTTTTCAGCCCAATATCTTTGTCGACCAAGAACACTTTTACTTTGGTAATCGTTAAGCATATAGCATCTTTGGTTATCTTTAAATATACGACAACGATACAATACGAGCATCTTTCTCATCACCGCGTATTGAAGAGATATAAGTTGCAGATGATTGTACAAAATTGTTGGCGTTGGCTTGATATGATGATTTTTGCATTTGTGAAGTCTATTTAATGCAAAGCATTTACCCGAGGATGCATATTCATAACAAATTTTAGAATCTATGTCCGGAATCGTACAGCCCGTATAATCTGCATTCTGAAGAAGCTCAAAAATATAGGAGACAAGAAATTGAGAAATTACTAAATGAACTTCGTTCACATTGTAAACATGATCGTCTATTACTTCTGCTGTATTTCTTTCATTATTTTTGTGATACACTTCATTAATGAGATCAAGAAGGGGACTATCAGAGGGAATTTTCCGTTTCGATGGGCGATCATTTACATCACTTATAAGGAAAAAGACCTCGAAATCATTGTGGATTTTCTCAATGTTGGTGACGTCATTACGTGGTGCTATAAAAGGAAAAGCCAATTCGCATAGTCTTAAAAGATATTGTAATCGGTCACGCCAGTAATTGACTTGAATGTTCAAATTCGGTATCTGAAGCCATATGTTCACTGCGCGAAACTCGGCAACTGGTGCTTCATTTTTTTGAAAAAATTGTACACACTTATAGATTCTATCGAGATCATTATCTAAATATGCTGAATATAGTTGGATCTCTTCTTCAAGGATCTTAAATTCCTTCTTAAATTCCTTAGATTCTTTTAACGCCTTGGATGATTTTACGGTTACTATATCACTTGCTTTGCAAAGGAAGCTGCGTAGATTCTCTGAAGTATTCAAGTTCATACATTTCATGTTATTAAGAATGTTCATTCTGCATGGATATAAAATACAATTTAATGACTTAATAATATCTTTGTTATTAGCAGAGCGACTGAACATAAGGGCAGCTTTTTCAAAATTTCCGCGCGAACGTAAGAATTCACCGGCATCGTGAAATTGCTTTTTTTTCACATAGATTTTCAAGAGCTCTTCTGGAGCATGATCTTCCAGAAATTCTATTCGTTCTTCCTGTGTTGGGATAATATGAAAAGCCTTTTCACACATTTCCTTATTATCTTCACGACGATAATGGATGTTGACAAAACGACTAATACGGCGTAATGTTTTATCATCGATTTTTTGTCTATAACTTAATGTTTGAAATGGTTTAAATGTTAGTCATATTCACTTTTAATTGATAATGAATAGTATTTGCATAAAAACATAATTATTTAAATATATGAGACCAAGGGTACAAAGTACTTATGCTGCATTCCTAATTTAATCTCATCAATGACGGATTTAAAAGAGCCAAAAAGATTTACCTTTGCATCAAGTCAATTACAATATCATAATATCCACCATTTTTATAAGCAGTAACTGCTTCTGCATATTTATTTGCTTTTTTATAACATTCACCAGCCTTCCCCCACTCCTCACATTTAAAGTAACAATCTGCAGCAGACTCAAAAATATTCGATTCATAATAAATATCGCCTGCTTCTTTGTACATTTCAATATCCTAGAATTTTTTTTTCAAATTTATAATTTCAGCAATACTTATCAAACCATAAACACATTAAATGCTAAAAAAGATTTACCTGATAACATGAAGCTGCTTGAATTGGTCGAGAACATTCCTTGAAACTCTTTGCTGCTTTAATAAAATTTGACCTTATAGTATCATTATCAAAATCGTGTATAGAGTCCCTAGCAACCTGTCGAAGGAGGTATGCACCCGCAAGTTTGAGTCCTTCCACATTATTACATTTTTCGAAGCAGAAAATAGCCTAAAGGCAATATTAGAATCCTTATCAGATTAGTTTATTTAGTGTTATAAAGTATTAAAAACGAAACTTAACCTGTCTATATTGCCGCCGCTCAAAAAAGTGTCTCCCCATTTCATTCCATTCACGTAAATTACTTTTCTTAGCCAAACTAGGTAAAGAAGTCCCATCTCCATTATGTTTTGATCTGATCAATCCGTGGTGGTCCCAGTATTTCCAGATTGGCTCGCCCAAACTAGAGTCTCTATCGAATATCCAAATGTGCTCTCGGGCTCTGGTTACTGCCACATAGAGATGTTTTAGCTCTGAAGAAAGAATATAATGCCTTTCGTACGATAAAGTTTGCATGCCTCCAGAATACCCTTCTATTGCGGAAAGAATTAGCCGCCACTAAAAATGATGGTACAAATTTAAGTACTAAGTATATTGTGGCTCAAAACAAATATTATTGCATCATACCTTTTGACCTGCTGGCGAATCCGTAAAAAAATCATATAAAAGAACATCATTAAACTCCATGCCTTTTGCCTCAAAAATCGTTAAAATTAGGCCAACTTTTCCAATAGATTCTTCTAATCGTTTCTTAGCTTTCTCATCACGTACGATAATGACTTGATTTGCACCGAATTCAATGGCATCACCTGATTTTCCGACAACTGTGAAACATTTAAAAACAGAAGCTTCGTCTTGATATCCCTTAAAAATTATGGGCCGTGGACCACCGACTTCACCGCGTTCTCGTGGCAATTTGTCGATAGAATTGGGGAAAAAGTACTGAATAAGGTCAATAACTGATGCGGCAAGCCCAAGTATTCCATTGTGCGAACGATAGTTGACATTTAGTGCGAATCGTTCTGCTTTTAAAGAACTATTCCAGTTGGGGTTAATTTGGGACCGAAAGAGTTCCCATTGATACAATAAGGAAAATACGCCTATATTATTGTTATTAAAGTTTATAAAATAAAATAAATGATATCATTCTTGAAAGAAACGACAAACGTACTTTGAAAGCGAAAGGAGGAGCCTCGAGCAATGCATTGCGCGGTATCTCCGGCCAAGAAAATGCTAGCTCGGTCAAAAAGCCTCAAAATAAGCGCAAAGTCAACAATTTGATTATCTTGACATTCATCAATATATACTTCATGGATGTGTAGGCCGCCAAGTACCTCCCTTTTAGCGCAACGCAAAACAGCTCGTGTTCTACAATAAAATATTTAAATTTTTACAAAGAATTTAAGAGAGTAACGAATTACTAGATCTTACCGGTCTATTGAATCATAATCATAATTAAGTTTTTTCATTTTTTCATATCGTTCAAACAGGTTATAGATTTCTTCACGGTTATAAAATATAGGATACTTTTTAGTAGTAACGGCCAAGTATTCCTCTCTTGATAAACATTCAACTTCTGGATTTGATCCCTTAAAAAAAGGCATGTTAAGATACTAGATAATTATTTTTTATTTATAAACATATAATATCACTACATACTTTAATTATAGAGAATTCTGCATAAACTAGAGCAGGATCTAATTTATTTCTATAATAATAACCGAATTTGTTCCAATACTTTTTCACGAAAAGTTCAAAGGTTATAAAGTGAGCCCACGACTTTTCAGATGTATCGACAAAGGAGGACGTAGGTTTGTATTCTTCATCCTCATAAAAATTTTTTGTATTAAATTCTTGTTTCGTTTTCCATAACTTATTAACATCAATTACATAAGTTCCTTCGAGCATTTGAGAGAACTTCTCATAAGTTATGAACAATGGAAAATGATCATCTGTTAGCTGACGAAACGAGTTCGGAATGTCGCCTAATATCCTCATCTCATCGTCCTCCTCAAGCAATGCATTATTAGACTGGCTGCTATTGATGTTTTCCTCTTCTTTTTTTTTTATGTATTCGTAAAATTGAGTAAATGACATCTTTTTCTCCGCAAGGATAGCAGACTCTAGTAATCGATTAAAATATTGTTTAACACGTATACATAGAGAAGGACTCACGGTAATGAATATCTGTCTTTTGTTAAAAACGTTTGCATCTATGTCATTTGTATGTACAGATGGAGTCTTGTAAAGTTTGTTACTAGATTGATTGGATTTCATAAGATATGAAGCAATCTGTCGAAACACGATACAAGTTGTCTTTCCAGTTCCTATATAACAAGTATGTAAAACAAAGAAAACCGATATCATATTTTTTAGTTCACGATATGACGAAAATTAATATCAGTAATAAATAATAATAATAATAATAATAATATAAAATAAATAAATTTAAGCAAAGGACCAAAATTCTGTATTATCGCTATAAGCATGAAAGTAGTTATCAAGTACAATTAACCAGTTTCTAAATACTGTATGATTAAAATATGATAGCCAATGGCTAAAAACGAGCTTATAACAACATTGAAGTTATTTACTTCGCAGATTTAAATTAGATGCAGGCATAACTAAAACACTAACCAGATCTTCCAAAGATAATAGCAGACGTAGGATGTTTGATGATTTTGTATTCATCTTCAGATACTTGGAAAGTGAAACCCGAACCACCCAGAACAATTGATTTGAATAAATTCTAAACAAAAAATTATAGCATTTAATAATCTGATAATATATAACAAAAATATGAATCTTCTTTACCTTCGACAAGGGAATAAACTTGTTTGTAACAAGTAATTGGTGTACTTTTATTAGTCTCTCATCATCATCCTGATGGTCATATAATCTTTCGTTAGTGGAATTTGACATCAAGCCTTTAAATATTTTTGGTAAAATAACGCCGTCTTTATTTTTGTCTGTCTTGCATAGTTGTATTTGCTTAATAGTATAGACTTGATGAACGATTACAAGATTTTCTAACATCTCGCGAATCTGTTCTTGATTTGCAGTGACTGTCCATATTTTCACTACCTGCGCAAGCGAACAACTGCGCGTAGAAAAGCGGCAGTCAACTTGCCAAAGAATTCTCAGTCCTTTTTGATCCGGAAGTTCCATCTCATAGACATCTACAGAACTACAATCGACAATTTTATTTCTGAGCTCGTATTGATCCCATTTTCCGGATGATATATGTCCAAATTTTTTCATAACTGCCTTAATCATTTGAGGAGACTCTAAACTTCGCATATCTTTGACTGCATCTTCACTAAGCAAGACGTCCCATGGGCCTAATCTGTCATCGTCGCTGAATTCAAATGGAAGTTTACGTTCTGATAGAAATGTATCATAATCTATATCTGCAGACACATTTTCATTCGCAAGGAATGAATATTTATCTGGCGAGAAATCAACAAGAGCTTGTCTGTGGCAACTTCCGCATGGCAAAAATTCGATTAAAACCTAGGAAAAATCGTTAATTAATTATATCAGTGATAACCATTAAATAAACATTGATTTAATTATGTTTGGACTTACCTTGAGCAAATTTATTTTTCGTTCTTCAAGGGATCGTAAAAAGATTTGTAACTTTGACAACTTTCCAGGAGCTTCCATCCCCAAAGTGGCAAGATTTTGTTCATCTTGAATTGTGAGAGGTAAGTTTTTAACTGTTATCAAAGACTTGGAGGTGTTACATTCCCTATTCAAATTTTGAACTTCAAGTTCATTTTTGTCAAGTTTAATCATGTCTTGTAGTTCTGGCAAAAAAGAATTCTTTTTAGCATCTGAGGCGACACGTTCTGCATTCTGATAACTTGTTAGAGTTTTCAGCAATTCTGTGCAAGCTTTAAATTCAGAAAGCTTTTCTAATAGTTGTGATACGCCATTATTGTGATCTGAACAATTCTCCATGAGAGATGCAACCAAATCTACAGCTCTTAATGCCTTATTACGATCGATCATTTCCATCATATTGAATTTAAACAAAATTTGCTTTATGAACTGAAGGCCAGAGTTGTCTGAAATCCAAATGCCAAAAACCCCATGCACATCCAAAATCTCATTGAAGACGCGTTCAGTTATCCAGATTGTCGTCTTATTATTTGAAATCTTCCAAAGGAGCTCGACGCAGAAACGAAAGAGTTCTCTGAACTGTAGAATATCTGAATAACGTAGATTTCCTATCATGGTATTGGTGATCAGCATTGAGGTAAAATTTGAAAGCCTACTGTCGCTATTACACGAATACTTTTTATAAAGATAGGAAAAGTAAGCCTCTAAAGTTGGTATGTACATATCAGGATATTGACATAAGAGCTCTGAAAGTTCGTCGAAAAATTCTTTAAGCTCTTGGGATGATGCGTTAAGGCAACGTGTTAAAAGAACATCTTGTGCCTCTTTATCATTGCACCCTGAACCAGCCAAACCTTCAAGAATTTCAATAAGAAGTTTATTGTTGTGTTTATTGTTGTCGCACATTATGCAATAACGTTTCTTTATCGTTTTTATTTTAGGAACGTTTATAATTTCGCGGCTGAATAACTGTTATAAGAACTGTAAATATTCAAAGAATTTTTTCTATTTATTAAAAGAGGAAATTTTATTATTTCCTGTGGGAAACAATTTTCGTATTTGATGTTAATAAGAATCACGCGATAATCTCATAATAAGAGTCACGCGATGATCTCATTTTAGAAGAATGCTGAATAAAGCAACATTGTAAGACGCCAAGCTTTGTTACATCTTTGGTTATCAATCAGCTGTTCCTATTAAAGTAATATATTAACGTGATACGTAAAACCTTCTTACGGCGAATTTATGAAATACCCAGAAACAGTTTAGTGTGTACAGGCACCGCTAAAAATCTGCCGACGATTATCATACCAGAAAAAGTAAAATCAAACCGACGATCTATCCGAAATTACGACAAATAAC